CAAGCCACTATTTTTAGAAAAACTGAGGTTTACACTCTCATCCATTCATCATTCTATTGTTCTAAATTAGAACGCATAGCAAGAATAAACACGTATAATAAACCGATTTTGATTTTAACCATTTGCCATTACAAATTTTACGAGTCCAATTAAATATCGAAACTATAGAACAATCTAATCGGAAAAACGAGATAGAAAATTCGTTTCCCTTACCTAAACAAAGGCAGCCCAAAATCAACGGAAAAACTCCACGTGTCCAGCAATCTCCCTGCAAAGCAACTTCGACTCCCCGGCCAATTTAATACTTTTAAAAATAACAAGCCCCGTTAATTTATGCGTGGACCCTGGTTTGAAAGATCTCGCCTTTTCCTCGTTTCCCAACAAAAGCGCCTCTCTGGCAGGTAAAACATTCCCCCACCAAAACTCCCTCAAAACCCCGTGCAACAGTTCCCAATACTCACGATCTCGACAAACACGGAATATCGTGCTCCCGTTCGGCGTCCAGCAGTACAAATCCACCCAATCCCGATCCATAACTTCCATTTGCCCCTGCACTTGAGGCATGTAATAAAACGGCATACTCGACCAAGGCAGCATCGTCTCTGGCTTCCCCTTATTGTAAGGACACTTCACTTCAAGAATTCCGCCACCTGGCGTGGGCCCCAGTATACCGTCCGGCGAGGCTCCGATCCAGTGGTACCGCTCCTCGGAGTGGACCGCGAAACCTAGAGAACCCACTTCGCGGCCTGTGATGGTTTTGTATCGATCGATGGCTATCGATTCGTTGAGCACCCCCCACTGCATGGCGCTCTGCTTCGAGGGCTCGGTTGACTGCAGGACGGGGGCGTAGACTTTTTCTTGCCAGAGTTCGTGGCGGCGGTTGCCTTTCCATATTCCTAAGGCGGTGCTGAATGTGCTGGTTGTTAGCCTGTCTTTGCGCAGGGCGAACCATTCTTCGGAGCGTTGTGGAGCGTCCGACGACGGCGATGATGGTGCCAGGTGGCAGTTTAATACGAAAGGGGAGGAGGGGTAAACGTGGGAAGTGTGCGAGGCGAATGTTGAGAAGTTTCTTGTGAATACTATTCCGAATTTTCGTTTCCGAGGGAGTGGGAGTGCTGCTTTGTGGATGCCCGTTCCGAATCTTGCAACGCAGGCGTTGGTCATGGCGAACGAAATGGGATGGCCTGGAAAATAACGGTACAATATGAACAAGAGAAGAACAGCAAACTCGAACGATAATATCTGCTAGCTATATAAACGAAACTACACATTTATTAGCAACGACCGCAGAATAAAAAAGGGTTAAAACTACAGAAAAAAACACAATACGTAGTAGAACCGAAAGAAATTTGATTTGCATCGAAGTTTTGTTCCACAAATCATTCGACGAAAGCCAATTCGACTATTGAAAATGGTCGGGTTCGCACCATATAAGACTCGGATTCGAATGTAACTATAGAATGTAACTTGTTCGATCATTCAAATCTAAATTGGGATGATATGTATAGCCAAGTCTAAATTGGGATAATAAATGCTACCCATGTAAGAATCAAAGCTTCTTTGCTGGCCAAATAATTCAAAAAAGTATCAAATTACGCAGCTGGTTCTATCCCTAATTTTTTTTTTAGGGAAGGCAAAATCTTCAAAATAACAAGAACAAAATATGCTATCCGAGTAATTCCCTTAAATTTAAAAAGATGAGGTGCTGACAGTTATCCCATTTAATAAAAAAAAAACGCAGAAGAAGCATAAAACAGATAAATAAAATGAATACGCATAGAAAAGAAGTGATTGAGTTATAAAGATAAGATTTTTAAACCCAAGAAATAAAGTGCACACAAGGTGTTTGTTAAAAGTACCGTGAAGATGAACGGCCAGTTTTGCAAAGATGAATGAATGGGTCTACCCTAATGAAGGAAAAATGACTATAAGTTGAATGTGAGTGAGATTTCGCGGTGGGTTTCGGGGCGGGGGCGGCGGCCGGCGGTGGTGGGCGGCGAGATAGAGAGAGAAAAGGGATTGCTCCCTGTTTGGTTGTAATGATTTTTCTTTCTTTTCCCGCAATGGTAGTAAAATGAGTTTTACACGGTTGAAAGTTCTACTTTATCTCATAAAAGAAAAAAAACAAATAAAATAAAAATTAATATATTTTTTAATTTATTAAATTCCACTTTACACCTATATGTCTATAAATTAGTAAATTTGAATTGTAAAATTTTATTAATTTATTGAAATATTAAATTAATATATCATACAAAATCTTATTTCCAACCTTCATAGATTGTTTTTTTTTCATCAATTAGTGATAAATGTACCTATATAATATAGATTTATTAAATTATATATTTTATGATGTATGTGTGAACTATCGTAAATGTATGGTCTTATAAATTGTACTAATTTAGAATTATTATTATACGGCGTTGATCAATCAAAAATATTATTTAGACGATATAACTAATTAAGTTGACAAGATTATACTTTAACGAGCGCAATAACTCTGTATTAATTTCGATACTTTTCGTAATTTGTACAAATTAAATTATAAATTTTCTGACGTCTTTGTGAATTATCACAAATGTATGATCTTATAAAGTCTACTAATTTAAATTATTAATATACATCATTGACCAATCAAAAATATTATTTAGACGATATTACTAATTAAAATGATCAGATTCTACTTTAACGAGCGCAATAACTTCGTATTAATTTCGACACTTTTCGTAATTTGTATAAATTAAATTATAAAATTTCTAATGTCTATGTGAATTATCGTAAATGTATGATCTTATAAACTCTACAAATTTAACGAATTATTAATATACGGCGTTGACCAATCAAAAATATCATTTAGAGGATATTACTAATTAAATTGACCAGACTCTACTTTAACGAGCGCAATCACTCCATATTAATCTCGACATTTTTTGTGATTTGTACAAATTAAATTATAAATTTTCTGACGTCTATGTGAATCATCGTAAATGTATATGTATGGTCTTATAAACTCTACTAATTTAACGAATTATTAATATACGGCGTTGACCAATCTAAAATATCATTTAGACGATAGTACTAATTAAATCGACCAGATTCTACTTTAACGAGCGCAATAACTCCGGATTAATCTCGACATTTTCGTAATATATATATATATATATACATAATATATATATATATATATAGATATATAGATATATATCTCTATCTCTCTATGTATATATATATATATATATACAAAAAAAGAAAAATGTACAAGTCTGAAAACCCCAAGAAGAAGAAGAAGCAGAATCCGCCATAGTTTTCTACAACCCCAAACAAGAACCATCCGATCAAAACGAGATGATCTACCCACCCCCCTCCCAATCCCGCCTCCTCCTCACCGACGGCGGCGGCGCCGCCGCGGAGGCGGGTACCCATATCTCATCCAACCCACCACCTTCTTCCGCCGCCGCACCGCCAAAAAAACGGGCCGAGACATGGGTTCAAGAAGAAATTCGGGCCCTGATATCACTCCGCAAAGAAACAGATTCGATGTTCAACACTTCGAAATCGAACAAGCACTTGTGGGAAAACATATCGCTGAATATGAGGGAAAGGGGGTTCGATCGATCGCCGACGATGTGTACGGACAAGTGGAGGAATTTGCTGAAGGAGTACAAGAAATCGAAGCAGAACGATGGGAATTGCTACTCCAAGATGAATTATTACAAGGACATTGATCAGATTTTGAGGGGGAGGAGTAATAATTCCGGTGGCGGTAATCATTCCGGTGAATCGAAAGTTGATCCCTTTATGCAGTTTGCTGATAAAGGTTCGATCTTTTTTTTTTTTCGTCGAATTTATTTTGATTTTCGAGCATCTTTTGTTGTTGCTGATTTTTTTGATGTGAATTGAAGAGGGTTTTATATGCTTTTGTGTGTGTGTGTGTGTGTGTGTGTGTGTGTGTGTGTGTGTGTGTTCTTTGTTGTGGTTAGTGATGAGCAAATGTGGAATCGCGGAATTTGGTTTCCGCCGCTTTCCGATCCGAAAAGTTCTGATTTTGGAACAATTTTTTTCATTCCGACTTCCGAAATTCCACTTTCCGAATTTTTCCAATTTTTTTGGATTGGAATTGGAATTATATAAAATAAATTCGGAATTTCCGATTTCCGATCCGATTTAATTCCAAAAAATACACCGATAAATAATTTATATTATATAATACTTATTTTCCGAAAAATACACCTATAAGTTCTGTTTTAGGATTTTGACAGAATGAATTTTTGTTAGAAGTTTTATCGGATATTATACTCTGTTTATTTTTATTTACTTTTTTGAACTGAAATTTAGTAGTTATTAGGTTTACCTTTATTGATGTGGATGTTCTTATTTTTGTAAAATTATGAACATCATAGAAAATTTCGGCTAAGTTTTGAAATTTTAAAGCTTATGTGATTTCCGTTTTTTTCCGAAATTCCGAAATTTCCGGGCCTTTTGGAATTGGAATGAATTTTTAGATTCCGAAAATTTTGGAATTGGAATTGAAATTGATTTTCTACTTCCGAATTTTTTTGGAATTTTTCCGGAAAGGCTAATTCCGATCCGATCAATCCGACTTTCACCCCTACCCCCACCCCCCGAGTTCAGACGGTATATCTTGTAAGTGTTGTAAACATAGTCCCTCTGTATCTCATAATCTTGTCGTATTATTGAATCAGTGCTCATTATCTCGGCCTATTTTTGTTTAATTCTATATATTCGAAACTTGAAATAGATGATTAACATATCGTATTTTCCCCATATTTTTTGCATTAACGTACGAGTTTTATTTGGCGTCTGCAGGTATTGACGATGCCAGTCTTAATTTCGGACCTGTCGAAGGTACGTTTTTTTTCTTACCAGTCGTTGGATTTTACACGATTTCGACATTCCTAATTACTCGATGATGTTTTTTTTTCGATTAGCTTGGGCTTTTCGTCTTTGCTGCGTTTACTTGTGTGCATTTGCATATGTGATTCGATGAAGTATCAATTGTACATCACAATCTTCACTTTTTATACGATTTAATACGTAAGAAATATATATGCCCTCTCGTTTTTTTTATCTATGTTTTTTTTACCTCTCGTTGTCTTCCCTTAACTGTCTTGAAGATCGATATTATTGAAAGAATGAAATAATTATACAGTTATACTAATATTTAAATGTATAATGTGTTCCATCCATTTTTTTCCGAATGAAGTAAAGAATTCTTGTTTTAGTGACGGAAATATTGATTTAATTCGGTAAAAAAATCGTCGCGATGCATGCAGCCAATGTAGAAAGACGTAATTCGGATCACGAAGAAAATCATCCTCTTGCCATCACCGCAAGTGGAGTTTCTCCTTGGAATTGGAGAGACACTCCCGGAAATGGTGGGGCCCACAATTAAGTTAATGCCGTTTTTCTTTTCTTTTTTTCAATTCTTTTTTTCGCCGACTTTTATTCCCCTTTTTTTATTTTTAGCAGGTGAAGAAAGCAACACATATGGGGGAAGGGTTATAGCGGTAAAAATGGGGGAGTACACAAAGAGGATAGGAATCGATGGCAATGCAGAAGCGATAAAAGAAGCAATCAAATCCGCTTTTCGATTAAGGACAAATCGGCCGTTCTGGTTGGAAGATGAATACAACGTTGTACGAACAGTCGACAGAGATATGCCGTTGGGGAACTACACTCTTCATTTTGACGAAGGTAATTATTTATTAATTAATTGATATATAAATGTAATTATTACGTATAATAAATTAGTGTTTTTTTTAATAAGTGGGTTGAAAACGAGAATTATTGTATTTGCAGGTTTGACGATAAAAATTTGCTGCTACGAGGAGTCGGAGCAGTTGCCGGTACACACGGAGGAGAAGACGTTTTATAGAGAAGATGATTTTCGTGATTTTCTGTCACGGCATGGATGGACTTGTTTGAGAGAGTACGATGGTTTTCGTAACGTCGATTGTTTGGATGAGCTTTGCCCCGGCGATATTTATCGTGGTGTCAATCAATTATGAAATCTATAGTATGAAACCTCGGCAATTTAGTGAGAGAATAAGCATCAAAAGAGTAACTCTTTTTTTTTTTTTTTTTAATATATATATTAAAAGTGAAGAATCTTTGTAAGAAATGTGGAGTATTTGTTCTTTTGTAGAAATACAAGTTCTAAATTCTATGAATTATGTTAAAGGTAAATTACCCACCCGGAACCCCAGTGGTGAGGTCAAATTACGAAACTTATAGAAAAAAAAGGTTAAATTACGAAAAATCCTCATATTTTTGTAAGTTAAAATTTTCTTACAAGTTTATCTTTGTGGTGTCAAATTTAGTGAATCTTTTAGATTATGTGGAATATTTTTCAGGCTGTACGTGTTTTACCTATTCAAGCTCCACGTTTTGAAACAAGATGATTATAAAATGTGTCTTTTGGCCTGTAAATATCAGACAGATTGTGGTGCATTGGAAACTGCAGTTTTGCAGAAAATAAGTACAAACTAAAGGAACATTTCACGGAATCTAGAAAATTATATTGAATTTGACACCATGAGGATGAACATGTAAAAAGATTCATAGTTGAGGGGTGGTTGTAATTACTCAAACATGAGAGGTTTTTCTTAATTTAACCTTACCTCAGGGACTGCCGTAATTTATCCTTTCTTTTACATATGAAAGTTTGTTGAATGCAATATTGTGTTCCTTTATGTTTATCTGTTTTTGCTGAAAAAACATGAGCATGCTACAAGAAACAAAAAAATTGTGAACATATGTTTTTTTTGGATTAAAAAAATAAAAATAATTGCATAACAGTAATACACACAATGACAAACTAATACACACAATGTGTATGAATCAAACAAACAAACTAATACACACAATGTGAATCAATGATTCACAAGAGAATCCGTAGTTCCGGTTTTTGCACTCGAAACTAAAAAAATATGAATCAAAACAGTGATTCCTTAAGAACATGTTAAAATGTGGAGAATACGAAATTATGGCTCGTCCCATTCATCGTTCTTATACGACACCAGAGTGTCGACTTTGTGAATCTGCAGTTGGAGAAAGAAAGAAAAGCCTCACTCCATCAGATTACTTATAAAGCTTACAGTTAAATTCTTTTTACCCCCAAAAAAATAAATCTTGTGGATAATATATATTTATAAATTTCCGTTTTTTTACCTTGGTATCGAAAGAATGCAATTTCACCATCTGTGGGTTATCAATCAGCTTAGGGTCACTCTCGATCCATGTAAACGGGACTGCGCAATCTTTGTCGGTATACGCTAAAACGTCAAACACACCTACAATCGAACACCGATCAAAATCACATATAATAAGGTCTTACAAAATTACAAAATTGATCGAACACCGATCAATTTCAAGATTTCTCTTACAGGGTTCTTCAAGGCATGGCAAATACGTAATACTGGACGCTATCTGCCTCATTATAGCCTGAATTTCCCTCATTATTTCTTTGTCACTTTTCTCCCTCGAAATTCTGAGCATCAAAACCGAAATTCCATTTCAAGAAACAAAACTAAATAAAAGGAATAAAAGGAATTTCACTATTCAGATAAAAAGACTATATTACCCCTTTTCGACGACCTCGCCATCAGTCTCGATACTGAAATTCCACCTCTCGAAAACCTCACCAGTTTGTTTGCCCATGATCACAAGAACCATCCTCTGTAACTTCCCTTCTTCAAGCCACTCTGCACCAAAATTGATTTAACACGAATCCATTTAATTAAATCTTCAATTACGTTCGTAAAAAAAAAAAAATTGCGGATAAAAAAAAATTAAAAAAAATTACCAGAAAGCTGAGAAGTTAAATTAGAAATGAAGGATTTGACCCCTTCGTCCTGCGTAAGCAACATCGGAAGCCCATACTTCTTCACTCTCGCAAAACTTTCTTCCGGATATACCCCTCGATTGTAAAGTATACTACAACAATTTTCTCCCCCAAATCAAAATCACACCTTTCACCCAATAGTTTACACTAATTTAAAATGAAAAATTCCAAAGATTAATTTAAAAAAGAGAGCATATTTTTACCTGTTTGCAGCATAACCTGAAAGGGGGTTTCGATAAAACACGCGAATTAGTCGAGATTATTCGATGAATCGACAGACGGAATCACAAAAAATAGAAGAATTTAAGTTTCTTCGATAGAAATGAAGAGAGAGAGAGAGAGAGAGAGAGAGAGAGAGAGAGAGAGAGAGAGAGAGAGAGAGAGAGAGAGAGAGAGAGAGAGAGAGAGAGAGAGAGAGAGAGGCGCATACCAAAGAATTCACTGACAATGGCGGCCGATCCTCGCAGAGTGATTATGTCTTTCGTGGCGGATTTAGAAGCCATTGTTTTCTTCTCTTTCGATTATTGAATTGTACAGCAAAACCCTAGAAGTATAGCGAAACTTAGATTAATGTTCGACTGATTGTGGAGTTAATTGAGAAAAAAAAAGGGGGTTTTCTTATCTGCGGTCGAATGATGAAGAGATAAATTCTAGGGTTTTTGATGGAATTGCAACGGCTATTTCTGCATCGTTTTTTGGATAGTGGGGGGAGATTGATTGAAAGGCAACGGTCGAATTATTTTTAAACATCAACGGTTGGACTTGTAGAACATTTTCTTTAATAAATGGCTTAATCCCACTTTGCACCCTTGAAATATATCATTTTGGCACTTTGCACCCCTCGAAATAAATGAATAGCGCTTTGCACACTCGAAACACAATAAATCATGCGCACCCCAAATGAATTTTTAAAACTAATAAATGGAACTTAATGGGGATGTTTGGTTATGTTTCCAAAATGAATTTCTAGTTTTCAAAATTTCTAATGGAAAAAGTAGATTATTGGTTTTTGTGTAGAAAAATGGGAATATGTTTGGATGAAGGTGTATTTTTAGTTTTTCTTTACGAAAGTACGTGAAAAGTAGAATATAATGATTGATGATGATGATAGTGATGATGATGATGATTATAATAATAATAATAATAATAATAATAATAATAATAATAATAATTATTATTATTATTATTATTATTATTATTATTATTATTATTATTATTATTATTATTAGTAGTATTATTATTATTATTATTATTAGTATTATTATTATTATTATTATTATTATTATTATTATTATTATTATTATTATTATTATTATTATTATTTTATTTTTTATTATTTTTTATATTCTTATATTATTATAATTATTATAGTTATTATTATTTTATTATTTATTAGTATTATTATTACTATTGCCATTATTATTCTTATTATTAGTTCTACAATGAATATTATTTTTAATAACAATAATAATAATAATAATAATATTATTATTATTAATATTAATATGATTATTATTATTATTATTATTATTATTATTATTATTATTATTATTATTATTATTATTATTATTAGAAGAAGAAAGAGAAATTAGGAGGAGAGAGAGTGTAGATATTAATGAGGAGAGAGAAATTTGAGGAGAGAGAGTGTAAATATTAATGAGTGATGAATAGAAGGAGAGAGAAATGAGTTGGTGGAATAAAATATATAGGTTAGTTAGTAGGTTTTAGTAGGTTTGAAAATTGAAAAAAGTATGAATAGTGAATTTCCAATAGAAATTTGAGAATGAAAAATGGGATTTTCTGGATAAAATTGTCAAACAAACATAATCTCGGTTTTATGAATAGTATAAAACTGGAAATCCATTTTGGAAATAGAAACAAACATCCCCAATGTTTTTTGTGGCCGTTTTTAGGATGACAAATGTCAAATATTTTTTTTATTCATCAATCATTTTGAAACAATAAAGTGCAAAAATAAATAAAAATACATCTCATCAACATATTTAAAAATTACATTTTTTTATCATAAAAATATATTTTACGAAAAAAAAATCATTCAGCTATTTCGTTAGCAAGTTATCTGAAAATCATATTTTCTTCCAAATATTTTTACATAATATTTCCATCATTTACAATAAGAAAACTCATCAGTCGAATAATTTAGTGATAGCAGTTTATTTTATTTTATTTTGTAAGAAAAGGCATACCGGACCAAATAGTTTGATTTGATAAATGGTACAAAATTTCGATTGACCTAAATTATGGTACGGCATCACCGAATGAACACTCGTGACACCAATAGTTAAGAAGGATTAGATCCATTAATGTGGGCTGTATCGATGCTACTGTGTTTGCAAATGATTATTTAAAAGCAGAAGTTAGTGATTGTGAGTTAAGTCAGTTTTAAGTGCTAATTTTTAAAAGTTTGGGATGTTTGCAAATATTCCGGAAAATGAACTTAAATAGAAAAAAGAGGGTTATGGGTGCTTTTAAAAAAATAGCTTAAAGCAGATTATTTTAAAAGAAGCAAAAACAAAAGTTGATTTTGCAAACACTTGAAAACAAATTATGAGCAAAAAAAGCTCATAAAGCGTTTGCAAACACCACCTAAGGCTGTCGTAAAATAATTGCAAAGTTCGTAGTTTAATAATGAAATCCACTAGTAAAATAATAGTTATTAATATAATTAATTTTAAAAATAACAAAACCAAACCTAATACTGTCAACGACACCCAACATGATTTAACAATAGAATCCAAATAATAATAAACACCGCAAAAATAACAAAAACAACTATAAAAATAGAAAACTAACTATATTTACAAAAAAAAAACGAAAAAAAAAAGAAAGGTTCCAAAATCGTAGTTGATATATACAATGTTTTACATCAATTCATCAAAAAACAATTAAAATATCCACCACCAAAAACCGCAAATACAAATAATGGCAACAGTACCCGCAAGGGTGGCCTAGCGGTTGGAGCAAGGGAGCTTGGGTCAATTGACCCAAGTTCGAAACAGCAAACTAATTCAAATCTCTCGTACAATTTTCTTTTCATCATTTCCGAGTTACCAACAATCACAACCCAATAGAAGGCCCATAGATAATAAGTTATGATCATAATTAATAGCAATAAATTAAGTTACCCTATATTCATCCAACAAGCGTATAATATTTTTATTATAGATCTCCACAGCAGAACCACCAGGGGATGGTGATGGACTACGGCGGAGTAGCGGTGAAATCGTGCGCACCGACATGGAAAGCTGCGGTCCGCACGATGGAGGCTGTGGGTGTTGTAGTTGGTGCGTGCTCCGCCACCGGTGCTAACAACACTCAACAAAAGCCGTCTCCATCGCACTCGACCGGCTATCACGATATAATTGCGCGAGCCCTAGGGCCTTTGTCCCACTGCGCAACCAAACCCCTCGATCTAGAACGACGTAGGGTATAATCAATAGTTTGTTTGTATTAATTGAAAACTAACAATTAAAGGGGTTCTCATTAGTTACTAAAACCAGGTGTTCATGAGTGTTCCCTTGGTTATTTCTATGCTGCACCCAGCAAAGACTAGATCGAAAGAATTTTTACTATTGATATATCTACACACACTAATGTGGGTGTGCGTGTGTATATAAATAGTAAAGATCTACCCGCGTGTATTTCACCATGTACATCATAGAATAGACGGGTTACCTCTAATTTTCCCCTTTAATAAAGGGTTTGCCCTCTAAAGATAAAGGGTACAAGACATATTTCTTTCAAGTGTCATGCACACTTACTATTCAATATCAACATCAATCCTATTGCATGTGGTGATGTGAATTCCCACATGCCCACTTACTTGAATACTCACACCTTTTTATTTTTCTCAAATCATATTGTAGTTAGCAATAATCCATTACAAACAAGAAAATAAAAGAAGAGAAAGAAGAAACAACTTTATCTTTGTGTAAGAGGGGGGGCCATAAGATTAGTAGCTTTTGATCAAGATCCATATATATATAAAAAAAAAAAGGTAAAATTCCATGGTTGGAATAATCCAGATTCAATGTGGCCAAAAACTTAAAAAGAATGTAATCCTTGGTGGTCCTCCAAATCCATTATTTATCATTAATGAAAAGTTTAGTTAAAAAAAGAAAATTGTCATTTGTATATGTAATAGTGTGACAGTCAAATACGAAAATTCAAATAAATAATGTCGACATTATATCAAACAAATTTCTACATCTTGGCTATTGGTGAGGTGCATGCATGGCTTGTCTACATTCAGTAAAATTCAGCGAATATCTGACGCGGAACCACTTGAAATGAGTATTGGAGAATCGTTTAGGAATTTGGGTTCGAATTCCAGAAACTCTGCATTAATCTAAATATATGTTTTTACTTTAAAACCACTTAACACACTACTATGTGACACTTAAGTCAGATGATGTCGTGTGTTGATAATTAACTCAATACTTAAATAATAGATCATATACATTGAAGTAGGGAATATGCTGAATATTAAATAAATGGATGAAAGCTCGAAAGAACTTTTTACTATTAAATAAATGTTGGTTAAATATTCCTTTTATTTTAATCAAGGAATAAACTACATCAATATTCGAATATGTAATCTCACACGTGTGTTTTGTGAAGTGCTTAAAAAAATGATGAAAAAAAAGAAGAAGAATATAGTTAACTAAATTAAATGAATTAAATTTAATGTGTTATCAAATTGGATGAGTTTCACGAGTGGGGTGTGACAAATTCTTTTCGGCTTTAATTTTTAGTCATTTTCGTTGAATGATATATGATCCGAACATGTTGGAGATTTCAATGATTAATTCACATGGAATAATTCTCATCGTTACTTATTGTTTGAAAGGTGAAATGACGCAAAGGCCCTTTCAAGTTTTCATTTATAATTTGAAAGGTCGACCATGATTTTCTTTTGGGGTATATATAGTTTTTGATTTGATCTAGGTTTAAAAATCAAATTAAACAATTTGATACCAATTCAAGATTGATCAATATTAACATCTCTTTTGAACTTGGTTCATTTTGTTCGATTGCTATAAATCTCGGCTCGAACTGGAGCTCGATAATTATAAAAATATAACATACTACCTATACAAGTTTAAGTTATTAGAACTCGATTCACGTTCGACCTGATTAAAGTTCATTTGAGCTCGAATGGATAACTAATCAAAGAAACTGAAAAACAAGTTTGAAAACTCGATAATATTTCTAAGTAAAGCTTGAATAATCACGAGTTTGACTCAATTCATTTACACCACTAACTAATACGACCAACATCGCATTTGATTGAGAACCAAACATAATTAGACTTGAGAGTGTTGGTTGTAATACCTACACGCAAGTGCACGTACCAACACGCAAGTGCACGTATCGTACAAGTAATAAAGTGGATTTTTAAGTCCAAGTATAGATCCCACAGAGAATATTTAATTATTTAATCTTAGACGCTAAATTCTAGCAATTATTATCAAGTCCACCCTACACAGTCGACTTTGGAGAGAATTAACTAAACTATATATACTAAATTAAAAAGCAAGCAAAAACAAGAAAGCAATTTAAAATGAAGAATTAATCAAAGTAAACAAGCCTATGATTTTATTCTTCCCCCTATGTGATTATTACTCCCCCAATTCCTTCAATTATGCAAGTAATTAACCCGGATTATTAACTTGAGATGCTAAATTAATCATAACCCGCTTCCGCGTGTATTACGATTCTAATACTCTAGATTCAATTACTATATTCCTATGCAATTAATTCTAGAACACAACATTAAGCACAAATCTCAATAATGGCTACCTAAGAGATTAACTATATTCCTATGTTAATACCACAAAGGCTCTTCTACCACAGTTCTAATTATTAACCCGATCTTCCGATTCATGCGATTAACAATAACATTAAAGCACAGAAAGTGGCCAGTTTCATGAACTTAATAAAACAAGTAGAAGAAATAATTCGGAATTAAAACTTGCATAAAATCATAGAATTGAGTTCATAAATCCCACATCGGGATCCAAATAAAATCCTAGAAACTAAAGACTTAGCTACTCGTGATTCTTATGATAAAGAAAATAAAAGAAATAAATTAAATAAGAAAAACTATGCTTGAGTCTTCGTTGATCTTCGTTTCTCGCGTTTTATGATGTATAATTTCGTGCTTATGGTGTAGAGACTTGTTGCTTTTATAGGCTTTTCTTGATAAAAAAGTAGTGAAAACCTAATAGGAATCAATTTCCGCCACTTTCCCCCATCAGGAGTTGTTCTTCGATTTTCGCCACGTTGGAGTCCGAATTTTGGAATGTTGCGTAAATAAGAATTGTAGCCCTTGAAATTATCTTTCCAATGCCGCCAAAATCAGATAATTTGGAGTTCGTATGAGAGAGATATGCTCGAAATGGTGGACACTGCCAAAGCTGTGGCGAGATTCCTTCTTCCAATTTGATTTATTTCCTTATTTGCAATTTTTTCCTTTCTTTTTGATCATTTTTCCTTCATGGATACCTAATTCTCGTTTTCACCTATAAAACACAAAATCAATCAATTAAAGCACAAATATAATTAAATCTAAACAAAATATCCACGTTAAGTAAACGTATTGAGCGTAAAATCTACACTCAACAGAGAGCTCAAATTAATTCGCAGTTTCTGCTAATTATCGAGTGAAATTGTTAAGTTGTGAACGAGCAGAGATTTTCAATTGGAGATTTTTGTTTTGTTAAGTCGAATTGCTTTCATACGACTATAAAGATTATGAAGTTGTGTCTAGCGTCCAACCGATTGAAGTTTAGGAGCTACAAAATAATTTATAATCTATATATCTAAAAACGAAAAACATTATAAAGACCATATTTATATTTGAATTTTGTATGATAAGCAATTAAGTCGATCTCGAACAGCAAGTTTTAATCAAGCCAACCACAAATCGAACTCGATTTTTTATCCACATTTTATCATTTTCTTTTCCTTCCAATCGAGTTCGAATTCGAGGCAAGCTTCATAGCTTATCGATTGGACACAAACATATATGTTCAAATTTGGTTTGTTAGGTTAAGAAATCGAGCTCGGTTGACCTTATATCGAAAAGTCTCGAATCCAATATCGAATATATTTGTTCGGCGTTAGTCCAAAGCTTTGAAAAAAGTTAAAATAAAAGCTGGAAATATTGACCGTTGGATGGACGAAAATTCAAATTCAAAACACGTGGCGAGTGGAGATGGAAGAGTAGTGAGTTTGGTTTAAATCAAAATGCACTACTTTGTTGTTTGGATATTTTAAGAATGACACGTGGACCTTACCTACTGCCCTTTTTCTACTTGTGGAAAGTAAGAAAACGTCACAGGGGAATCTTGCAATTTAGTATTTATATATATATATATAATTTTTTTTAAATAATTGAACATTTCATTTAAATATATTGCTAATTGGGCTAGTTATTAAATTTAAGTGTAAATCTTGCTAATTTACACCCCTTAGGTATGTTTAAATAACTTTAAGGTCCATGTGATGTCTGTAATTACAATTACTCCTGAAATATTGTTAGAAACCCTAACGGAATAATACATTTGATAAGTTATTCCGATGGGGTTTCTAACGGTTATTAATTTCAGACAGTGGTGTAGACAACATAGAGTTAGAGGTTGCCACGACTGTCCTAATATTTTTTAAATCCTTATTATTTCATATAAGATTTATAAATTTTCGTGTATGGTAGCATTAACGGCCCCGAGGGAAACAAATATAATGGATATCGGTCCTCAGGACATGAAATTTTGGCTTCAATAATTGTTTCAGGGGTGTGGTTGTAATTGCCAATAACACAGGGACCTTAAAGTTATTTTAGCATATTTCGGGGTGTAGGTGTAATTTATATACATATATTTTTTTAACTTGTGATTTATGCTATAATTAAGTTACTATTTCCTTGTCGACGAGCTTAATTATAGTAGTCAAATCTAATGGTAATGAATTATTTATATGTTAATCAAAGTAATCATGGCCCAAACAATTAATAAATTGCAGAAAATAAAAATCATTTGCTCGAAAAAGTGGGAATAAAATGATTGTCCAATGAGAACAAGCCTTATCAAGTTTGTCATCATAAGCCTAAAATAATCTATACTTCTGTCTTCTCTGTGTGTTTCTTTTTCCCAAAAAATAAATAATATTTACTTTATAATAAATAACTTTTAGTTTTTTTTAACTAAAACTCACATGATTAAATTGCCTACGATTGCGACCCAACAACCGATTCATTACCGATCATAGTTTTAGACGGATTATAATTATTTAATCGATCAATTGGATCTGGTCGAAAAATTCAACCAATTCATTATAGTTAGTTGACGGTTTCTAATATTACCAAAAGTTAGTGGACTTATAATTACCGGTCAACCAACCATATTAATAACATTTTATTAAACAAAATATAAAATAAAGGGATTGGTTTTTTTATAAAGTGGGTACCGGAACTAACAAAATAGTCAGTATTTTAAATTAAAAAAAAATCAACAAGGAAAAATAAACCGGCATAAATCTTCCATCAGAACTTTTGAATGTACATGTTTGGAATTTATTTGAATTTCAGAGTCATATTTTTTTTTTTGGAATTTACTATTAACAATTTTGAACTGATAAATGATAATAGAGCATTGAGCCAGTGTCACTAAGCAGAATGTGAATAATTTCACTTCAAATTTTAGATTTTTTATAAATAAACTATACCAATCAACCGACCTATTTCGGAACTAATATTTGGTTGCCAGCCATCAACTGACTCAGAAAGATTGGGTCGACAATAATTTTTCAAATTTAAGCAAAATTAATCTGTCGAATGGATCGATAATCGATCGATCCAATCCAGTCGAGTCGAAAACGGGTTCGTTGTACCGAAGTACTGTATTTAGTAGCAACTGGAATCGCTGGACCACTCTAGCAACTTTTCAGTTTTAGTGGAAATGTGGTACAAAAAACAAAATCGCAGGATACAAATCAAATATATTTTATCTCCTGTGTGTTACCCACGTGACACCACAATTGTACAGTGAGCCTCCTTTTAACCAACACACGCCTTTCATTTACAAAACACGCTTTTCCTTCCTACGTGGTTAAATCCTACGCTTTTTAACACGCTTAATCCCTATTTGCACTCTTGACAACTAATACCAGTTCGGCACTTTGAACCCTCGAAATAAATTAATAGCATTGTGCACCCTCGAAACACAACAAATCATTCATAATGCACTTCGAATGATTTATTAAAACTAATAGAGGTGCAGTAGAACGTCAATAAATTACTACTCGATAAATTAATAAACTTGCTTAAATAATAGTTTTTTTTTTTCTGGTCCCGACTCGGTAAAAACCTACTAAATTATTAGTTCGATAACTTAATATTTCGATAAATTAATAGAATTTTACTAGTCCCAACTGTATTAATTTATAGATGTTCGACTGTATTTTATATTTTTAGCTATTTTTTTTAGGAAATATGAAATCATTTTTTTATTCACCAATCATTTTGAAACTGCAAAAATAAAAATACATTTTCAATACATTTAAAAATTACATTTTTTTTTATCACAAAAGAATATTTTGCGAAAAAAAAAAAAACCTTCAACGGTTTTATTATCAAGTTATTTCAAAATTATATTTCTTCTGAATATTAATACCTCATATGTCCACCAATTATAATATTAATACCTCATATGTCCACCAATTATAATATAAGATCTATCAATCGAATAATTTAGTAATAAAAAATTATTTTATTTTATTTTATAAGAAAATATAGTTTTTTCATTAATTCAGTGTGATTTTTATTTGTTTGCACTTGGTGAGCTCGAAATTAGATTGAAGGGTTGGAAAAAATAAAAACTTAATTTGTACTTCTGCACCTTGGAAAAAAAAACCCAATAAAAATGAAATTGCATTTATTATTCAATTCGGTGTGTATCGTGAATGATTTATTGCATTTGGAGAGTGCAAAGTGTAATTATTGTTTTTTAAGGGTACAAAGTGGAATTAAGCTCTTTTTAGCCGCATGCCAGGTGGCCAGCACACTCGCCACCCCCAAAATCTCCGAGGGATTGATTCTCTTATATAGAATGTGACAAACCAGCACACGCACAGATACACGCACTGAGCGGGTCTGAAATTCCATGGACCATTCGAATTAACCTTTTTCCATTTTTACTTCCATTTTCTCTCAGTCTGGGCAATTTTTTTTACCGAATCGATTTCTCAATTTTTCACATTTCCGATCACTCCAAAACGTCAATTTTGTTTTTATCTCGGTAATTTTTCAGAAGAATTTACCGTTCCGTATATAGATACACACACACACGCAGTACAATTCGTCTGTATGTATATATAATACGATATACATATAAGAAGATACTCACGGGATGTAATGTTTATTGATAGAGAAGAAGTGGGTGGGTGGGGTTTTGGTGGGTGGGGTTTTGGTGGGTGGGGGTGGGGGTGGGGGTGGGGGGTAGGGTTTGGGGGGGTGTGCCCACTGCACACATTTTTGTTTTTATGAGGTTAGAACAAAATACAGTGTTTAATTAAATTAGGAAATTTATGCACTCAGATACTATAATATGAACACATGCATGATGACATTCTTACTATTATTCTTTGCAGAAAATTAGCAATTAATTAATTTTTTTTTTTCTTACAAAATAAATTACATAGATAAGGATAGTGATAGCTTCCTAAGAATCCACTGATATTGACTGCCTTTCTTAAAAAAAAAAATTTAATTTTTTTTTTGTAATATTTGTATTTTATATCTATAAATATTCATCCTCGGCAGCATACCATACTCCTGTAATAAAGCTTAGATTCCATTACATTATTGTCACCAACCTTGAACTGCCCACGTGGTTTCTTCACACTTGATCCATTTCTGGATATATATACACTACAGTATGTACATGTGTCTATTTTGTTTGTGTTCATGTTTTGGGGATGCAATTCTTTTTTTTATTTTCTTTTTTTATGTTTTATATTGGTGTTGTGTATTTTAGTGTTGGGATTGTTTCTTGTGGCAAGAATATTAATATTAATATTCTGATGGTGGGGTGGTATTTATGCAGGGTTGTGTTCTGTCATTCTGCGAGTGGGCGAATTCGTGTTAATATCTCAGTGTTCTTGATATTTTTTTTCGATTCTCGAAATTGTTGTTGATATGGATGTCAGCTTGAACCTGGTGAATGTGGCCTTCTGCCTCGTGTTTTCGGTTTCGATTTTGTGGGATGTTTTGAAGAAAAGAAGAGGAGAGGGTGGTGATAATCAGTTCTTGGATAGAGTGAGTTTGTCCCTTTTCACCAAAGTTACCGTCTTGTTGAATTTCGTAATCAGCCTTTCGTATTTCGGATTCTATCTTCGTGAGATTTGGATATTCGAGACCGCTTCGACTCAGCCTATTTTCTCGGCCGTCGCTTGGTTTTTTGCATGCATTCTTGCATTTTTTTCACTGACCAGAGTGCCGAAAGAGTGGCCATTAGTTCTTGTTATCTGGTGGGGTTTTTCGGCCACTTTTGATTCTGTTTTGGTCGTGTTTTTTCTCCTTCACCGTTTCGAATTCTTAGAAATTCCAAAGTTTCTTCCAAAAGCTAACGTAATCGATTTCGCTTCTCTTCCACTGTGTGTGGTGCTTTGCTTCAATGCCATACACAACAATATAGCCAAGAAAACGACCGATTTTTCTGAGCCATTACTTGAAACTCGATTAGAAAATAGTGTAGAAAATTCGAGCGATCCGTTTTCGAGCGCCGGAATTTGGAGCCAGCTCACGTTCATGTGGCTCAATCCACTATTTAAAAAGGGGCACTGCGAGAAACTCGAATTGGAAGATGTACCTCCGATTCCTCCTTCGGAGAGCGCCGACGAAGCTTCGTCTTTGCTTGAAGAGTCCCTTCGGAGGCGGCAAAAGAACCAGACTACTTCCATGCCAAATGCTATAAGTCAACGCAATATGGACCCCCTTTAGCCATAATGGCAGTTTTTGCAGGTATTTCTTTTTTAATCCCTCCAAAGTAAATAAACATCAAATCAGAGCATTAGTGGTTATGTACTCGAAATGATTTTTAGTGAAAAGGGTAAAAATATCGGGGGGCATTAATTTTAATTTAATTACTGAAAGTAGGAAGACGTGGTCCAGACGTGGTCCTTATTGATTTTCAAACTTAATTGTGCACTAGGTTCGTTTTGTGATAGAACTTATCACAAGTATATGCGTAATGTTTATCGCAATTACTAAAAATCGAGGGGCGTTAATTTAATTACTAAAAATTATCAAGACTAGGTACATCTGTGTTGATTTTCCTTATTGATTTTCAGATGTGAACTGTGAATTAATTTCTTTAAATGATATAACTCTTATCCAAAATATATATGTAATGTTTTTTTTTTCTATGATTTTTCCAGGAATCAACACGACTGCTTCCTACATCGGTCCACTGTTAATTACAAGCTTCGTCAACTTCCTATCGGCGGATGACGAAAACTCAAAATGGCACCACGGTATGATTCTCGCATTGATTTTCTTTACCGCAAAGTGTGTAGAGTCACTCTCTCAGAGGCAGTGGTATTTTGGTGCTCATCGTATTGGAATCAGAGTCCGAGCAGCTTTAATGGCCCTGATATACAAAAAGTCTCTCTCGATCAAGTATGGCGGTACGAGCAGCGGCAAGATCATCAACTACGTTAACGTAGATGTCGAGAGAATCGGAGACTTCTGTTGGTATTTCCACGGTATTTGGCTACTTCCAGTTCAAGTTACATTCGCCCTCGTAATCCTGTACAAGAATTTGGGGGCCGCCCCCTCTTTTGCCGCTCTCTTCACCACCATTTTCGTCATGATAAGCAACACTCCGCTCGCAAATATGCAAGAGAGCCTCCACACGAAGATAATGGAAGCTAAAGATTCGAGGATAAAAGCCACCTCGGAGACTCTAAAGAGCATGAGAGTTTTGAAGCTGCATTCGTGGGAATCGAAGTTCTTGAAAAAACTGCTCCACCTTAGGGAAACGGAGAGAGGCTATCTCAAGAAATACCTCTACACAAGCTCGGCTGTTGCTTTCCTGTTCTGGGCTTCGCCGACTCTAGTTTCGGTCGTCACCTTCACTGTGTGTGTTGTGGTGGGGACGCCGTTGACATCTGGCACGGTCCTCTCCGCTCTGGCCACTTTCCGGATTCTTCAAGAACCTATCTACAATCTTCCGGAGCTTATTTCCATGATCGCTCAGACAAAAGTTTCGATCGACCGAGTCCAGAGTTTTATCACATGTGAGGATCAGAAAAAATCGGCTCACTATCATGCTTCGACTGCCGTGCCGGGCTTCGCAATCGAGATCGACGCCAGCGAATTTTCGTGGCAGAATGGAGATGCAAAGACCAGACCTTCGCTTAAGATAACCGAGAAGCTCAAAATCAAGAAAGGGAGTAAAGTGGCTGTTTGTGGTTCGGTTGGCTCCGGGAAAACTAGTTTTCTGTGCAGTATACTCGACGAGATACCTAGAATATCCGGGCCGAGAATTAAAACTTGTGGGTCCAAGGCTTTTGTACCTCAAAGTGCTTGGATTCAAACGGGTACGATTAGAGATAACGTGTTGTTTGGTAAGGAGATGAATAGGCTTTTGTATGAAGATGTGGTGGAAGCTTGTGCTTTGAACCACGATATCGAGATGTGGGCTGATGGTGATTTGTGTGTCGTGGGGGAGAGGGGGGTGAATTTGAGCGGGGGCCAGAAACAGAGAATACAAATGGCGAGGGCACTTTACAGCAACTCTGATGTGTATTTGCTGGACGATCCTTTTAGCGCCGTCGATGCACATACTGGTGCTCACATGTTCAAGGCAAGTCAAAATTTAATTATATTCTATCGTGTAATTCTGCTTTCGCAACGAAAATATTCATGTGGATAACTAATAGTTTTTTTACTTTTTTTTTTTCGGCTCGTCATAATGCAGAAATGCCTGATGCAACTCTTGCACGAGAAGACTGTCGTCTATGTCACTCATCAGCTCGAATTCTTAGATGCTTCCGACCTTGTTTTGGTAAGATGATATTTACAGATTCATAGTTTTGATGATGGTTAGTTATACTTACTCGAGCTGCATATTTTGTGTAGGTTATGAAAGATGGAAGAATTGTTGAGTCGGGGAAATATCAAGATTTAATTTCGAATCCCGACGGAGAACTCATAAGACAAATGGCGGCTCATAGTAAGTCTTTAGATCAAGTGAACCCTCCAAAGTGCATCAGCTCTTCCAAGAGCTACCACCAGCCTAAGCAAATAGAAGTTACCGAAGTGAAGTTCATCGATCTCAGCAGAAGCAGCAGAGTTTCAGAGCGAAATCTGCACGAAGAAACGGAGAGTGGCAGAGTGAAATGGCACGTTTACGCAACTTTCATCACATGTGCGTACAAAGGAGGCCTCGTTCCACTCATCCTCTTGTGCCAGATCTTCTTCCAGCTCTTGCAAATGGTGAGCAATTATTGGATCGCTTGGGGATCGGAAAAGGACGAAAATGTTACGAAAAAGAACTTGATCGTGATATTTGCTCTGCTCTCTGGTGGAAGCTCGTTGTTCATATTGGGAAGAGCAGTTCTTTTGTCGACCATTGCTATTGAGACAGCTCAGCGCCTCTTCCTTGGAATGATCACATCTGTTTTTCGTGCGCCTCTGTCTTTCTTCGACTCCACTCCTTCAAGCAGAATTCTTAATCGGGTCCGTTTTATTCATTTTTATCATTATACTTAAAACTTGAAATGTTTCTGATTTTTTTTTAATTTTTTTTTGGGATGAACAGTCTTCGACCGATCAAAGTATAGTGGACACAGATATTCCGTACAGATTAGCCGGGCTGGCTTTTGCACTTATTCAGCTATTGAGTATTGTTGTTCTCATGTCCCAAGTTGCATGGCAGGTGTTCTTCCTCTTTGTCGTTGTTTTCGCCGTCTCTGCGTGGTATCAGGTAATCGTCCCCTTAGTTTTTGTATTTATAGATAACAGACCGAATCTATACTTACAGATGTAACAGTCGGCATTTTCCGTAAATTTATAGGGCTTTTGTTTGTATCAGCTACTGATAATTCTTCCATGCAGGCATACTACATCACCACCGCCAGAGAATTAGCTCGAATGGTTCCAATTCAACAAGCGCCGATTCTCCAACACTTTTCAGAATCAATCACCGGAGCTACAATAATTCGGAGCTTCAACCAAGAACATCGTTTCTGGAAAACAAACACAGACCTCATTAACGATTACTCTCGTGTTGCCTTTCACAACTCCGGTACGATGGAATGGCTTTGTGTTCGGATTAACTTTCTCTTCAATCTCGTCTTCTTCCTTCTTCTCGTCATCCTGGTCAGCCTTCCTAGGTCAACCATTGACCCCAGTAAGCACCTCCTTATATATCCTTTTATTTTGAATAATTAATAAATTCTACAATAAACGATCGAAATTGATAATTAAGAGTTTTGGCTTTGGTTACAGGCATGGCAGGACTAGCAGCCACGTACGGATTGAGCTTAAACGTACTCCAAGCATGGGTGATATGGAATCTTTGTAACGTAGAGAACAAAATGATATCTGTCGAGCGGATTCTTCAGTTCAGTGGTATAGAAAGTGAAGCGCCGTTGCTTGTCGAAGAATCAAGACCGGAGAAAGAATGGCCGCTCAATGGAAGAATCGAGGTGGAAAATCTGCACATACAGTACAACCCTGCTCTTCCTACAGTTCTCAGAGGAATCACGTGCACTTTTCCGAGCAAAAAGAAAATCGGAATTGTGGGAAGAACTGGGAGCGGCAAGTCAACCCTAATCCAAGCTCTTTTCAGAGTTGTCGAGCCTTCACAAGGACGTATCTTGATTGACGGGGTCGATATTTCGAAGATAGGTCTGCAGGATTTGCGATCCAGGTTAAGTATAATCCCGCAAGATCCGATTTTGTTTCAAGGGACTTTGAGGACGAATCTTGATCCTCTACAAGAGCACTCAGATCATGAGATTTGGGAGGTAAATTAAGGATTATATGTTATTTTTCTTGATCATAATACGTAACTGGTCGAATATATGAATTATTTTTGATTTTTTCTAGGTTTTGCGAAAATGCCATCTCGCTGAAAACGTGAAGCAAGACGAAAGGCTTCTTGATGCGCCAGGTTTTGTTTTAGTTCGAATCAATTCTTGAAAATGGTTAATGTTTTAAAAATTTGGTGATTTTATTTTTATGTTTTGAATATTTGAAAAAATGGTGTGCAGTTGCCGAAGATGGAGAGAATTGGAGCGTTGGGCAAAGGCAACTCGTGTGTTTAGCTAGAGTTCTCCTACAGAGGAGAAGAATACTAGTCCTGGATGAAGCTACGGCTTCGGTAGATACAGCGACAGATAACTTGATCCAGAAGACGATAAGAGAAGAAACAAACGGATGCACGGTTTTAACTGTGGCCCACCGCATACCCACAGTCGTTGACAACGACCTAGTTTTGGTTCTTGGCGAAGGTACAGAATTTTTCCGAGTCTTATTTCTTACGGTTGTCAAAAAGATGAAACTGACCCTGTTGGGTTCGTTTGATTTGATGCAGGGAAAGTTGTGGAGTACGAGTCACCTGCCGAATTGCTCGGAGATGTGAATTCTGCGTTTTCACGTTTGGTGATGGAGTTCTTGAGAAGATCATCGACAAACGATAACTATGAATGACGAGGACAAGTCAGACAACATTTCAGACCATTATTCACTGTGTGTAATGAAGAATATCATAGCTAAAGGTTTGACGAATATCTTGCAGACTTGGGAGATCGAGAGAAGACAACTCTAATTTGTTGAATATCTACTCGTATACTTGTACATGTGCTTATTCGATAAAGGAACAAAAATCTTAACTACTTAAGCTAACATGAATTACTTACGAAAGAAAGATGCAGTTGCTTTTCTTTCTTGATCATGATTTAGAATCTCTGCACATGTTTTCTACCATATGTAAATATGAACTGGTAATAGTTGTCGAAAATTGAGTTCTTACTTTTTTTTTTGTTTATTTTTCGTTTTCTTTCGTCACTATAAGCTTCTATGTGCGTGTGTGTGTGTTTCATTCTTCCATGATAAAATTGAAGCCAATTTTTTAAGCGACTTCGTAAGCGGAGGTTCGATATATATATAAGACTTTGAAACTTCGAAAGAAATACTTTTTAAGTATCACAATAAGGAGGTAGTAAATCGTTTTTATGAGAGAAGTAGTCGATTCGATTGCTTATTAAATCAAGATTAAACACAACTTTGGAAGCTTGATTAAATATTAAACAATCATGCTTTCGACTCGAGTCTATTTATATACACCGTACCCTTACATAAAGAAAATAATTTTTTTTTTGCGATAATCTATACTAGTGTAACACGGCAAGGCAAATATCGAGTTATTCGAATTGCTTTAATTTATCCAGGGGTGCAATAGTAAATTAGTCAGTGGGTGAACATTTGAGGAGGGTTGTTATGTAACTTTTGCAGCAATACAATTCACATGTCAATTAAACCTAATTTTTGCAGCAATAATGCATGCATGCATGCATGGTCCACTACACTACACTTCACATGTGAATTCATCATATGCATGCATGTGCATAAATATATACATACATAAATATGTATCCAATATATTTGTGTATATATAGGAGATGAAATGTGAAAGAAATCATTCTGTAAGAACCAAAAAAAAAAAAAAAAAAAAAAACAAGTCCCTCAGAAGTATACACACTTACATACTTCTCTCCTCTGATTTTCAGCAACACTGAAAATGGACCAAAAAAAAAAAAAAGAAAAAAAGAAGGGAAGTCGGCGAATTGGCTTTAAAATGCACACAATCGAATGGCTCTCTGTATTCTTAATCGGGTGAGTTTTTTTTTTTTAATATTTTTTATTATAATCACACGCTTTCGATCGAACGTTCTTTGTACTAATACACTTGAAAATGTTGTTGTTATAAATGTGATTGAGCACATTAATTAATTTATCCAAATTATATATGCAATTAAAAAATAATAATTCCATGATTTGTTTCTAGGAACCAACACAACCGCCTCGTACATCAGTCCACTGCTGATTACGAGCTTCGTGAAGTTCCTATCGGTTGAGGACGTGCGAAAACGGTATGATTCCCGTATCGATGTTCTTAAGTACCGCAAAGTCTGTAGAGTCACTACTCTCTCGGACGCAGTGGTATTTTGGTGCAAGTCGTATCGGAATCAGACTCCGAGCAGCTCTGTTGGCGCTGATCGATATACAAAAAATCTATGTCCATTAAGTACGATGGTTTAAGCAGCGGTGAAATCATCAACTACGTGTTAACGTACGTAGATGTCGTCGAACGAATCGGAGACTTGTCTTGGTATTTGGTGTTCGGACTTGCCAAAATGAAATTAGCTTTCTCTTTTTAAGTGACAAATTGATCACAACTATGTATTAAAAAATATCAGAAAAATCGAAGATTGGAATTTAAAAAATCAGAATTGCTTATTCTTTCTAAGTGACAAATTGATCACAACTATGTATTAAAAAATCTCAGAAAAATCGAAGATTGGAATTTGAAAAATCAGAATTGAAAAAAATAATTATCTACCTAATATAAGAAAAAAATTATATTAATATTCGGGGAAATGTTATGTTTTTTGGAATTAGTTTTGAAAATTAAAATCTAATCGATAATCTCATTACAATTTCTAAGAGGGATTGATTGTTATTTTGCCGCGTACTTGTGTATTTTCATATTTTGCCTTCAATTTTTTATTTTTGAATTAAAAAGTCTGATAAAATGAATTAAAAAATCTGATAAAATACCAAAAAAGAAAAATATGAAATTTGGCCCATGCAGGTCTCGAACCTGCGACCTTCGCGTTATTAGCACAACGCTCTAACCAACTGAGCTAATGGGCCTTTGTTATTATTTTAGTTTAAATAGTTTAAATAGTAATGACTATAAGATAATGTATGACTTTATTATTTTATTTTATTTTTAATGACGGAAAATGAAAGTTTTTACTAAGCTACATCGCCGCCTCATCCTACATTCATAAGCCAATCACACAATTATTTTCCGATATGTTATATTACAGTTACACATTTCTAAATTAATACAGTCATGACTAGTAAAATTCTATTAATTTAACGAAATGTTAAATCATCGAATTAATAGTTTAATACGTTTTCACCGAGTCGGAATGAGAGAAATTATTATTTAAGGATAAATTTATTAATTTATCGAGGTTCTACTGTATATGACGTCTCGAATTGATCAATCCACGATGAAAGAATCATTTTTTGAACAAAATGCATCACAAATACCAAATAAGTTAGTAACTAGAATTGCTTTACACACACACACACACACACACACACACACATATATATATATATATATATATATATATATATATATATATATATATATATATATATATATATATATATATCTTTAAATAATTAAATAATTAATTTCTGTGCAATAATTGTAAATTGAGTGGGTGAACAAAAATCAAAACAATATTAATTAAGGAGGGTTGTTATGGAACTTTTGTAGCAATACAATTCACACCTCAATTACCCTAACTTTTGCAGCAATGGTCCAACTACTTCACATGTGAATTCATGTGCTAGCTCAACACACATCTACATACATAAATATGTATGTGTATATATAATTATATATACATATATGTGTATATAATTTTTGTATATATATAGGAGGTGAAATGTGAAAAGAACTCATTCTATAAAAAAAAATGAACGGCGCCTCAAAAATATATATACACCGAGGGAAAAAAAAAAGGGTCGACGAATTGGCTTTCGTAATGGAATGGCTCTCTGTAATAATAAATGACGATGCACATGTTGGAATTATTTCAATAATTATGTGGGCTCACATATGTGACGTAAATGTGTATGGCTATCTTAAAGAAAGTCCGAATTAATTGTGATCTAATAAAGGTTATTGGGTTGGACTTATGGGTATTAAACTATAATTATGGGCCTAATGTGTAGAGACAATTAGGGCTTAGTTGTGATTTATTGATGGGGCTGAATCACAATTATAATATAACTGGACTCTACAGTTATATAAAGGGTCGTGGTCCCCAAAGAAACGCAACGATTCCGTCTCTTCTAAAATCCATCGTTAGAGAGATAATTAAGGAACTGCGGATTCTTTGGAAGACCTGTCCCAAATCCGGTGGAGATTAGAAGATCCGATTTCGTGATGTAAGGTACGCTTCCGTGTTTATGTTTATGTATAATTCTCGTTGATTCAAGCATGTTGGTTCTTGGGATTCGTATGCATATACGATAAATTTTCTAACAAGTGGTATCAGAGCCACCATGTTTTGAATCATCGAGAATTTTATGTGTTAAAATTCTCGTCAAGTTTAATTCAATTACGTGGATTTATTCATTGTTCCACTTATGGCTAGTTGTGAATATGTAAGGTATTAGTTTTGTTGTTTACGATTTCTTTGGTCCAACCTTTATGGTTGAAAATTCGGAATAGTTTATCTGTTTAATCTATTTGGATTAAAGGTAAGGTTTAAGGTATAAATCTGAAAATTCCAAATCAAAGTGAATTAAATTCTTTCGGTTCAATGTCTTGGTGGATTATGATTTAGTTAATAAATCTGAATTTTTCTCTAAAGAATTAAGGATGATCTATTTAGTATTTACTGAGTAAGGACTTCCAAGTACGGAAATCATTCCGGATTAAAGTTTGAAAATTTTCAGATTTGTTCATCTCAATTATGATATCCTGAAATTAAGAGGTGAATTAAAGACCACCTAGTTCAATTCCCCATCACCACCATCTTCTTTTCAGTTCGCCTCCCTCGCCATTCGGCTCCGGCGAGGAGACGGCGAAAATCAGGCTGTGGTTCGTTGAAGGTGCTGCGCGGGGATGCCCACGATGTATTCTCCTGGGTTTTCTATGTCCATTGAGTGCATGTTATGTTATCACTTATCAGACCACCGACGGTGGGCGGTGGTATGTGGTGGCGGCGGATTTGATTAAAGAAGGAATATTTGGTTAATGAAGTTTTGGGAAATTACAATTTAACCCCAGATTTAGGGTTTCTGTAATTTCAAATTTGGTCCCCTAATTTAAGTTTGAGAAATTTAGCAATGTTTCAATTTGGCCCATATTTTGGTTTCCTGATTTTGAGCCCGGGTCGATTTAAAAAAAAAAACAGTATTACAGCCCTCAAGCTTTCGAAAACTGCATTTCAGTCCCCAACTTTAAAGTTTCTCCCAAAACAGTCATATATTTTTCAAATTAAGTATTTCTGAATCTTAGGTCCCTTTTCACTCAAAAGCTTTTCTTTCAAAATTTCAATTCAGTCCTTTAAGTTGAAAGATTTTCTGGTTTTGGGACAAAGGCAATTTTTAAGGAATAAAAAGTTGATTTAAGGTTTTGGGGCCGTTTAAAATATTTCCAATTATTTTGAGGGACATAACTAATATGTGAATTCTTTTAAATTTTTTTGAGGTTTTGTTTGGTCAATAAAGTGAAGTTCATTTTGAATTTCAAATTTGGTTTTCTAAGGCTAATTTGGGGAATTTTCAGATGATAAAGTTTATGCCGTTTAGACTTAAATTTTTTGAGTAATGGGTCAAAATTAAGGATACAAATTAATTTTTAATAAGCTTCTGATCCATTGTCATTTCATCGTTATTGAGTCAAAATATGGATAATGGTTATTAGTTAACCAAATAAGGTTTGATTCATTCGGCATTTGAGTCGAAATCCTTGTTTTAAGTCTAAATTGAGTTACTAATAAAGTCTAAATCCATATAAAGGTAGATTTATTGGTTAAAATTTATTTTGGCCTCTAAATCTAAATAAGGTTGAATTGTGAGCCCCACATTATCTTTAGCTCAAATTCAAAATAAAGATGGATTTGATGTTTTTAATTAATACTCATTTTTATGAATAACCATATTACTGAGTTTGATTCGAAAATAATACAGTGAGGCAACCTTAGTGTTGGATACAGACTGTTAGCGCTCAGGTGATGTCTTTAGAGCCTTAGCGTTCAATGACTTTTAAAATTTTGAATAATTTTTTGGGTACATCTAATGACTTGTTATTAAGTTTGTCTGACATTTAAAAGAACTAATTGAAGCATGAAGCCACCCTCGTGACCTCTCTGCGTAGGTTAACTTATTGAGATTGTCAAGATGATTGTGTGTATGTGAATTCATGCGAATATTTAACTATACCCCTCGGTATGTTGATATTTGGCAGAACCACGTATGCATATGTGGTAATAAATATGTGATGGTTGTTGGGCTCCATGTGAATGATAGTTGCATCCCTCGATGGACTTATTATTTGACAGGATTTACTATCAGTGTTTGATTACTACAACAAGAGTGCCACTTACAGTTAATATTATTGTCCCCTCGGCTTGATATTAATGTTGTGCTAGGCATCTTGAGATGTATTCCATAATTAGTTAAAGTTTTCAAAGTCAAACTTTGGATTATAATGTGAGCATATTGATTTTATTTTCGTTCTCTACTTAATTTATTTATCGCTTACACATTATCTGCCTATAACATTTTGTGCTTAACTGCACAAATATTTTTATTATTTATTATGGTGCATAGATCTTAATTTATTTTTATTTTGGATAGAACAATAGAAGAACCTAGAGTATATCATCGTTCTAATTATAAAATTTAAGATCATTAGGTGCATCTATTTTAAATGTTTTTTTTGGGGCATAAGGTTTAATTTGGGGCTACGTACTAGAAGGTTCCTTAAAGATAGTAAGGATACGTTTTATTTTAAAACGATAAAGTTGCAACAAATTAGATTTTGATATCTATTGTTTAAATAAGGTATAAAGAAAAGGAACATAAGTAAGCACATTAAGTAATAGTCTAATCTCATTTTTCGGTTATAGCACTTCAGTTAGTGTGGTTTCGCTGACTTGAAAGTGGATATGGCTTAATTTATTTTTCTCCGTGAACGGTCAATATAAGGTTTGTTGTAAAACATAAAGAATAAAACTTTGACCGTACACACGAAGTATAAATAGTTAAGGGAGAAGAGACTAAGTGCTAATTTGACTAGTACACCTTAAGATAAATAATTATAATTGCAGTTTACATCTCAGGTAAGTCGAATAACGTAATTATGCTTGTTTCTCACTTTAATTGTTCTAAAATATATTTGGACTTTGTACCTAGACACATTTAGTGAATAGATCATGTGTTACACTATTCACATAAGTGTGTGTATATAAAGGGTTATTCACGTAACCAACATTCAATTGATGTTGAAAGATATACATCTATAAAGGTTATGTAAGACATTTGGGATTGAGGCTATGAGGACTCTTAGGTTTTCTTTTGAATTATGAAATAGACATTTGGTACCATCATTAGATGGATTTAGATTTTCTCTTGAACAAATTCGGTTAGTTTGTTCATTTGAAAACATTAAGCTTGGCCTATTTCATAATTCAAAATTT